ATACTATACTATAGCTTACAATGGAAATGTTAATGAAGTATTTTATGTACTGATGGGCAAGTGATATACTATGGCTTCAATGGAAATGTTAATGAAGCTACTTTGTGTACTGATGGGTAAGTGATATACTATGGCTTCATGGAAATGTCAATGAAGTTACTTTATGTACTGATGGGCAAGTGATATACTATGGCTTCATGGAAATGTCAATGAAGTTACTTTATGTACTGATGGGCAAGTGATATACTATGGCTTCATGGAAATGTCAATGAAATTACTTTATGTACTGATGGGTAAGTGATTTACTATGGCTTCATGTAAATATCAATGAAGCTACTTTATGTACTGATGGGCAAGTGATATACTATGGCTTCATGGAAATTTCACTTGAACGCACATGATTAGTGATTTCTGTGCATAAATGTGAAATACCTTCCATACTGCACAATGTCCGAATGCGAGTGTAAGTTGTACATTGAAAGTTCGATATAGGCGGTTTGTATATGGTGCTTGTTCTTGCGCCACGGTACGTTTGTATATACGTAGCTCCTGCCACCTCAGTTAGACACATCCTCATTGTAACATTGTAACTAGGAATGGATGCTAATCAAAACACACACCCTCACATACTATTTCAGCGTCCTCTTCAGATCCGGACACGAGATGGTCTCATAGACATACACGGTCGAACACGAGTTGCTCCGCTTGACCAGCAGACTCTCAGACTTGGCGTTCTCGTCCTCACTGTCGATACGATGTACTGTCACCTGTGTGGCTGCGTTGTTGTGTAGCTCTACGCCTATGTTTGAGCTCCGTGCCACACCCCCATCCACCCGGTACACAGTCGCGTCATCAGGCGCCCCGTAGGTAGCCGTAGTGGCGGTGCCGCTATCAGAGGCCCTGTCCATTGCTCTCTGCCTACCGTCAACTACACTGTCTTTGTGTGCAAATGGGTCTCGGCTGTTGCTGTTGCGTAGTTTCTTGGCGGCGTCTCTGCTGTGTGTGGTATGTGCTGCCAATTGAGTGTGCGAGAGCGCTACACTGTGCGTAGTGTGTCTGCGTTGGCGCTGTTTTTCCTCGCGGTTGCTAATGTTGATGGACAGCAGAAGTGTGCGCCCTGTAGGTACTTCACTGCTGTGTTTCGGCATACCCCGGTCACTGATGTGTTGAATTGTCTGAATTGGGTCGGTAAAATCAGGATTTGTTCAGCTGATGCGTTGTATAGCTTCAGGACGGCTGGGGATGGACAAAATGCTAGTACTGTAGCTCTACTTTATATTTAAGAATATCAAAAATCCATAAACCGGTTAACATTTTCTATCCTCTTTCAAAATCGAGTATTACAACCTTGATTTATATTAGTGAGCTTGCTAGCTCATTGTTACGATGTAAGCTAATCATGCTAGAATATTGTCTGCAAGTTGGAAATATACTTTGGGTCGTGGTGCCGATCTTGTTATAAATGGACTCTTGTGATCACCTAGCATTCAACATACACTGCTCACAGCTTGCTGCAAGTCAGTCAAACTCGATCAGGGCTATTCAAAAAATGACCTCGATTATGGTCTCGCAAAATATTCAAATAAAAAACAGCTCACATCCACATAGTATGTGATATGACTTGCGTTAGTAGTGGATGCCAAAATATAATAAATAATGCTACAATCACGAAGAGAGACATTTGAGCATTTGAGAATATATCGCTGAATCGATATGACTACACGGCGAGCTGGTCACTCTCAATAGCACCAATACGCAGATGCAAGTAAATTATATTTTAATATATATATA